ACAAGTAAGAGCAGGATTTCAGGAAATGGATGTAGACATATCAAGTAGGAATCTGAAAACGTCATCAATTTTGAATACCAATCTTGAGGTTTAGTTTTCTGGAGGTCCCTTTCAAGTAGCCTGAGACTTATTACATACCTTATGACATCAACAGTGTTTCTACGAGCAGAATAGTTCTGTAGCAAGTTTTGCACTTCAGTGGCCCTGTTTTACGCCTACATAAGGAAATGAAACAGTGCTAATCCCTCTTTAGCAAACTAAGACTTCCCTCTAACAGATACAACAAATGCCTGAAAGCAATTCTTTCACTGTGCGTGAAATCACAGTGAACCATACTGCTGTAAATGCTTAATATTTGCACTTTTTAGTATGGGAAGGCTTTTAAATTCTATCACTGCTTATCTCTCTGCTTTATTTCACATTGAAATAGGACCTACTTTCACTGGTTTAGGCCAATGTGCCATGCAGCATATTGCATAGTTCATCATGAGATAGTTGTATCTCCCAAAGCATGTAGTCAGGCAGCTAAAAGCATAACAGAATTAGTTTATGGTGTAAGCAAGCCAAAGTCTATTTTTGCTTATTTTTCTGAAATATGTCGTGGAAGATACAGTTTGTATTAATTGGCCTTATATCTATACAGATTTACAAAGACATAAAATTAAAATTATGCTCTTGGTTGAAACATGGTGTTTAGTGTACTGACATTGACAATTTTGCCCAGAAAACAACCTTCTACCTCTAAAATTACATATTTTAGAATGCCCTTAGGTTTTCAAATGTATGTATGACAAAAGCACTTCTGGAATTTTAGTGACAAAAGTAGCATTTAAAATATGCACATTACCACTGTCATAAAAATATTTCAGATGCAAAAAAAGACCACCTCATCAGATCTAAAGCAGCTAAGCACTCAACTTTCATGGAAGTTAACAGAAATTCACAAAAGTATTTTACCAAAACACTATTAGGCTTAAATTGAGGCATCTGTACCATGAAAAAATCTGGGCCTTAAACAATGAAAGCCAGTGCTTAGATGCAATATACTAATCCTTTTAATCTTTTTCTGAGATTTCACTAGGGGAAAGAGAAGATACAAGTCCCTTAGTTTTATTTAGCTCTCTGAGACAGAAGCTCTAGAGATACTTCTCTCCATCGTACAGATTGACTGGACAACCCACTTGTACAGATTCAGAACACTTTTCAGGACCTCTCACAAGCACGTATTATTTCACTGACAATTATAAAGTTTATACCTGGAAGAAGTATGACTGGAAAGGCTGATCCTTGTTCTCCTCTTCCACATACAGTCCTCCAACAACGTAGACCTGATTCTGTTTGGTGACTATACTGGAATGATTTCTGGGAATCTGTTCGGCCAGGGCTGCTAGGTAGCATTCGTTTTCAAGAGGATCATAAGCTACTGCAGCAGTGTCATTAACCAAAAGAATTAGGTCTTTGACAAACATGCCGTGCCTGGGAAGGTCATTTAGGTAGCCGGGCAGTAAATCTTCATCTCCTACATCGCCATTCACCTCCCCTTTGCTTGACTTGTCTGTACTTTTGCCAGAGTCGGGCAGTTTTCCAGCAAAAGCATCCTTAATAATCTTTACTTTTTTCTGAAGGTCTGAGTTGCTTTTAATTATATCATCCTTCTCAACATGTTCTTTGAAATATTTTTCTGGCATAAGACGAAAACGTATGCAGTCAAAAATTTCCCCCAGGCTCTTTACTCTGTTCTCCTTGTCTGTTCGGACCCATCTCATTACCGCTTCAAATACCAGCTCTTCCTTCTCTACGTTTAAGCTGTCAGGTGAAATAACCGAGATGAGTTCATGTGGGGCAAGCTGCATGAAGTCCTCTTCTTTGCAGATCTGCACAAAATGATCTGAAACAAAATCACGGGCAGAAAAGGCAAGTCTTGGGCAGTCAAGCAGAACACCTAATCGAAGGATGGCCAGGCAGTTACTGACAGCCAGCCTTTTCTGAAGGTAGGAGACGCACACAGTGAATACAGAAGGGATCTGAAAGCGACTGGCCAAAGCAAAAATATCTTGCACGTTAGAATCATTAAGGTCAATACTCGCTGAATAAAGGTATTTGACAATCATATCCAGGATGTTGGGGTCAACATTATCTAGAACCACCTCCTTCTTTTTCTCTTCATTTTGCTCGGATAAGAAATACTCACGAAAATAAGGGCTACAGGCCGACAGAATCAATCTGTGGCAAGGCAGGCTTCTGTCACCAGCTTTGAGAGAGCAATCTATAAACTTTTTCTCTTCGAGGAGTTCCTTGAGGCCATCCTGAAGAAGGGTGGATTGGTAAAGTCTGAGCTCTTCGGTGAGTTCCCTTTGGGAATCCATTTCACAAACACTTGGGAAAGGGGAGGGAGCAGAAAGCTTTAGCTGTTGTCTGCCCAAAGGTCTGTCCGTAAAAAAGGCAGACCAATGTGCTTTGCCCTGCCTGAAGCCCCCGCAACTTAATCTCACCAGCTAAATATAGGTACAGACTCCTGCCAGTTGGAATTTAGGATGGATGGTCTGGAAAAAAAAGAGTTGCTCTCGCAGCTGTCAAAGACTGAAAGAAGCAACTGTTGCCTTTAGTCACTGTGGCTGGGTTTTGCCACCATTCTCCACATCGAGTCAATGAGATTACATGCAGTGCAAGGAATTACTGGATATGAGTAAGGACAGCAGAATCTGACCCTCGGTGAGACAGTTACGAGCAAGACTGTAAATATACATGTTACCAAATATTCTGAAATAGGAATATTATTAATCAAGGTTTAGCTGCAACTACTGTTCACTTTTACAGTTGCGTAATATATCTCATTGCTGCCATCATAAAGACGTAAAAACTCCCTAACTTTGCATTAATTATCTATGCTCCAAGATTATTTTGTACATATCCTCATACATATCTCATCTGCAGTTTCTCCAGAGGTTGATAGTAAGACTTTGAAATTAATTTTGAGCTTCTTAATATCCATTTGGTTGTATTTATTTTTAAACAAAGCCCTACTGTTTGAACATAAAATATACATTATTCAGGTAAAGTTCTGCTTTTGAAAATAACTTAAGTTTCCACTCCCACTTTATAAACAGCAACCCAAATTTCAGATTATCTGTAGACACTGTCAACCCTTTTAACTTTGACTGCACTAGGAATGATGTTAACTGCTGTTAAACTAAACTGAAACCAGTACATGGGAAAGGCAGAACAGAGAATGAAAAACATGTAACCTACCATATTAACATTATTTAATGGATGTGTAATTTAAATAACCTAAAAAAAAATCTGAATTTAAACTAAAAAAATCCCCAACTTGAAAAAATAGCTGGAAAAGTGAATGTGAATTTATAAAAATTATGCATATGTTGAAGGTTTCACCATTTAGGCTGGGAACATTTAGTTTTTTCTTAAAGGTGGTAATACATATCCAAAACAAATCTGAAATTTTAAGTTGTTTACTACACCTTGATGAAGGACTGTATTTTGCCTGTACAGAGAATGCTTTTTACCCATATGGTAAAATGTTCTTTGAATGTAATGGGAACAGGATCAAAAAACAACTATTTGAATGAAAGATCTACAAAGAGGTATAACAAAGTTTATTGAAATCATGATTGCTTTTCAATATAGGTAGTATTTCATTAATATATATACCTTGAAAGATTTTCTACAAACACCACAACTACATTCACACCACAGTTACTTTACTACAACAGTCAGCTGCTAAAACAACAGCTGAGAGGAGAGCTCATTTGACTTTTTCCACTTAGAGAAAATAGCACAGAGGTCTTATCTCACTAGAAAACATAACAGCTGCATCTTCCTTTAAACAATAAATGACTCATTTCTCTCTAACACGTAACATCGTAAGGGTCTAATGACTCAGACACAGAAGCTATTTTTGAGCACTTTTTTCTAGATCATTCCTTAAAAAAAGAGCTCTAGCAGAAAACAAACAAACAAACAAAACAACAACCAACCAAAACTGTATTAGGATATCTGGATTATAGTTAAGTACCTGGAATGATGAACTCAACAAAATTATGAGATATGAAAACTAATATTTGGAACAGTATTGCTTTTTGTCAAAGTTACCAGTAACACAGCACTGCTGCAATGACCCAGCCAATACATCTAGACAGAAAAATATTCTGCACATGAAGATATTTCTATGTTGCACAACATTAAACAAGTTAAGGAAATGTAATTTAGATACAATCAGTGTGGGAAAGGACACCACCGTGTATAAATACCGGAATATTTTAATCTGAGCATCAAGCCATATACCATGCACTGCCCTATCGCAACTGGTGGTCCCTGTGTACACGCAGGAAGAAGAGGCTGCCTTTTCTGCCACACTTCCAGGTAAAACGGCAGGTGGTGGCTGGTCCTGGCAGCCCATCACAGGGCAGTACATAAACGCAGGGGTGATGAGGTTGTAAAAAAAGCAGTGGCTACCTACTGTAAAAGGGTGGCTGAAATACCACATCGGACCCGTGCTGTTAGGGAAGGGGGCTTCCTGCCCTGACAACCTCCTGGGGGAAGCAGGACGGGGTGGCTGGCCCTGCCAATCACACGCCGAAAACACCTGGGGTACGCGTGTGGCAAAACCCACAGTCAGCCAACCATGAAGCTATAAAAAAACGTGTGGTACGACATTTTACATAAGGGCGGGCTGAAATACGGTGGCAGTTGCCATGCCTGTAGTGGGGAGGGACTTCTCGGGCCCTTCCAGGCTGACAGAGCAACTCCTAGCATCCTGTGACTCTGTGACCAGACTATGGGTGGGACTTCTGGGGCTCCAGAACACGTGATGGCCTGCAGGGGCCCTGCCCCTTCTCACCCGAGATATTGGCTGTCCTCTCCCTAACAGAAACAATGTCCTAAGTACAAAGCTTTTACATATACAAGGGTTTTGAATAATTTTCCCTTTATGATATATCCTGAAGGCATATTATCTAATATTTGCCGGCTCTTTAGCTTCAGCATGTTCTTTCTCTGCTACTCTGGTATTCCTAAATCATTTTCTATAGATCTCACAAGCCCAGTTAGAACTTGCTTAGGAAACCAACATGTGCCGATATACATCAGGTCATCACTTCCCAGAGTCCCTGGAGTGTGAATCCGTCCTTTAGCTTCTCTATTGCAAGTCCCAGTTCTTCTGAAAATACAGGCTCCCCATCATGTTGCTTTTTTGAATGCATGAGATATGAGAGAAAAGAAAATAAAGCAGAGGGCACTTTGAAATTTTGTTCTCCCATTTTAACAACATGAATTTGATAGGTAGAAAGAAGATGTTCTCACCTTGTTTTCATCAGCAAAGTAAGCCTGAAAAAGAAAGAAAAAAGAACATGTAACTCTGGAAAAAAAAGTCTAAATCCAAATCTGCCAATAATTCCAAAACTGTATTTGGTAAGTTTTCTTCAACAAACCAGCCTGCATAGTTTTTATTTTTGACCTGTAAACAAGATTAGAGTTTTTTCTATGTTGAAACAATTTACAAAAGGTTTCCAATATGAGTTGGTGATCATGTTCTTTTTCATTAAATATCAATCTTTGAATTTTCCATCATAACGAACAAAGATTTTTAAATGGTAAAATCTGTTACACCGATAAATACTTTGTAGGGACTAAAATGCTACTGTGGAGGCAAACTGAGGGAATCCTAGCGTTTTCTGCCTCATTTATGGCAACACTTACTATGACATTTCAAAAACCAACTTAAAATGTTTAAGTAATGTCAACATTCAGTTAACATCATACTCAGTCTAAGAAATTAACCCGATAACTGAACAATTCACCGTATTTTTCTATGCTCAGACAGAGATATGTAAAGAAATACAATCTTTCTCATTCTCTGTGTGTGGGAATTAAGGCTCAAACTCCTTAGGAAATCAGGTCTCTAGAAGCGTCTACAGCTCTAGAAGTCTCCGGACAAGCAGGCTCTAGATCTTCACGTTTACCAAAAGAACCTGACTGTGCTGCAGCTGTACCTGGACACTGGCAAGGGGCAGCAACAAAAGCATTTTCCTGCTCAGCTGGCCCTCAAGCTAAACGAGACTCTACAGAATAGCATCGCAGTCAGCAAGCGTCACAGAATATTGGTGTGGAGCTACTCCTTGGGTCCTGGATGACGTACATTTTCTGCAACAACCACCTTCTAACTATTTACAGCTTCCAGTTTTTGTTTTAGAATATGCAAAGCACAGTTATTTAATCCAGGTGACAAAGGCACCAAGAGAACAAACAATCTACCTTTAAGGAAAAGGTAGGTCTTCAGCCATGTTGAAGACTGAATAAAAATGTGCAAAAATGGAAAGAAAAATGCAAAGTGAGGAAAGGAAGAGGTAAAAGCTAGTCTGCATCAGTAACTGATAGCCAAAGAACAGGAAGTGGAAATAAGATTGGTGCTAGGACTGCTAATTTATGGAATTTCAGAGATGAATTAGGGAACATGTCAATTGTCAATGTGTAAAAATCAGCACTTGAGCCCGTGTGTGTTCCGCCTGTGCAGTCAATCAGGCAGTCAGGTGTTCCCGGGTTGCCCACTAAATCTGGAAATCCCTAGAAAGAAAATCATCAAGCAACCTTAATGCATTTAAAAGCAAATTTTCCTGAAATACTGGCAGACAGATACTAATATAGTTTTCTAAATGGGTATTGTCAGGAGTGCAAAGGTTGTCAGTAGTGACTCAAAATTATTGCTAACTTTCTAAAAATCTTTCAAGTCTGAATCTTAGATGCATGTCGATTGTACAGATATCGCCATCTATGACTCTGCTCCAACAGAGGGAAGACTTGATTTAATGTAATGTATTTGATTATATTGTACTGCTGGTCTTCACGGTACTCCTGATCTTAATGTATTGAGAAACTACATATAATTATTTCTCTAAGTATCTACTACTATTTATTTTGAATAACAATTTGTTCTTAAGTTAAAAATCCATACACAGAATAAACTCCTGTAGTAATTAGGATCTTGAATAAAAGGTGTGTATGTGTGTTTTAAATATAGGAAGTTCAGTTGTAGTTTAACAGAGGATTACGGCTGAACATTATTTACGTCTGAATAACCAAACAATAATTATTTTATTATTTAGTTTTCTGTGGAGGAGCTTACCACAAAAGCATCTGTATGTTCATCAGATTCTATTTCCACATCATCTGGAACCTCTTCTACTGTTAGGTCTTCAAGAGGTTGAGGCTACAAATTAGAACACTTAAGTAAGTAAATTCACATATCTAATAAAGATATCTAATATGTTTAATGTATTTTTATTAGTGCTTTTAACACAATATTGTACCTAATTTAACATAAATGAATGGAGTACCTTTTCTTCCATTTCATAGTCCACTCCAAATATAGGGTTAGCTGAATAAACTTTGTGAAGTGAACTAATTTCTTTCACTGCCTCCTGTAGTTTCTCCACAGGGTCTATTTTAAAGCCAAGTACATATCCTCCGCTCTGTATAACAGAGAGAAAAAAAAAAAAGACCAGTATTTATTAGTGTTGCTTATTATTTAAACAACTTTTTCCCCTTGATAGGGAATTGCAGTTTAATGACAGCAAATTTCAGTTTGCTGATAAAACATTGTCTGTGTTTTGGTATTGTCTTATTTTCATTCTGTCACTTAAACCATGGGTGAAATAAAAACAATGGCAAATTTTCTCTATGGAGTAAATAAGCTTTTAGCTGTTAGTCCATTATATAAAAGGGGAATAAACTTCTTACACAGAAAATCGAAGCAAACAAGTGTGGGAGAATTTCAGAATTGATACTAATGATTAATCTCCTAGCTAATCAGCAGAAGTTTAGTCTGTTAGATCTTGATGTTGTTATAAAGAAGCTTTCAGACACAGTAAATAAAGTTATTAGAAAAGTAAATTTAATTAGAAACATGAAATTAGTAAATAAAATTATCAGAACTTTTCTTATAAAAAATCACCATTAAAAGCATTTATGATTAAGGTCAAATTGAAGAAAAATACTTTTGTCAATTACAGCAAAAGAGATACGTAAGTGAAAAAGATTTAACAGTTATTTTTCTTTATTTTAATTAGTCATGCTGGCCTGCTGTTGCTTCACTTAGAGATGCCGTAACTCACATTTGTCACATTTGTAATGTTGACCTTAACATACAGACATTTTAAGCAGTGCAAAGAGGACTTTTTTAAAGCTGTGTTCAAAAGGTCACACAGAAAGAACACTCTAAGCCCCGTAACATTTCAGAATTGGAGAACTAGTATATATAAAAATGTAACCAATGAAAGAAGGCGATTAAAGCTTCTTACCTGCTGAGAACTCTCTATCACGAGTGCCAAGCCAAACTTGGAGTCTCTTATTTTTATTGAACGCTAATGGTAAAGAGATAAAAACTGCTTGTTAAAAGTTTTTTAATTACTTCATTAAAAAATTGCTGTACTTTTTTTTTTTTTTTTTTTTTTTTTTTTTTTACTTTTTACACTGTACTAATTGCAATTACTGGTTCTGGCTACCAGCATTCCCTCCCATTTACCATTACAAATCCAGTTCTCTGAACCTCAGGGTCAAGTGTTTTTATTAGAAGTGGTAACAGCGGCAACAGTTAATTTCTGCACAATAGGTTCACAGATCATTAACCTGTGTCTGTAGGTGGCATGAAGCATCACAGTAAACAGTTTGAAATTTGGAAATACAAGCCATTTTCAGCACCTGTACCCACCCACGAAAGCCCCCAGTTAATCTGGATATACACACAAAAAAATCTACCCTGTGGTTGATGCTGGTAAGACTAAATTCCTCCCTGACTGTGGGACTAATTTTGGTGAGCTGGGAGTTTTAACTGAAGACTTGAACTTAGGCCATTTCATTTTGGAAACAGTTGCTCTGAGATACTTACAATTTGTAGATACGGAATGCTGACATTAAAGCTGTCATTCATATTTGCATGCCAAACTATTCTCACATTAGTAATAAAAAACGTTCCCAAATTTCCCTATTAAAGAAAAGGTATGTTAGAACTGCTTTGACACATTGAGCCTTTTTTCCAAACACAGTGATCTCTGCTATTCATTAAACACAAGCAGGATATATCTTCACTTAATTCAATTAAAGCCTGATTCTTTCCCATCAAAACCAGCTGAAATGCTTCTACTGACTGCAAGGAAGCAGGAACGGATCTTTTAAAGGATACAGCACCCGAGTGGTGAAAATAGCTGGGAGTTACCTATTACTGCAGCAAAACAGATCAAATCGCAGCCCAGCAGACCTCATGGGAGTACATGAAGCATCTGAGAGTGTTCTTAACTGTACAGATCTGGAATTGGCGTATAGCCTAAGTGTAATGGCATGTGGGTTAAACTTAGGCAATTGTGGAGATGTGTGCCAAGGGAATGTAGAGGAAAGAACTTTTTAGCTTGTCACGATGGATCCTGTTTCCATTCTGGACTAAAATTGCACAGACAGAAATAACAGCTCCCATTTTGTTTCGTGGCTCTGGGAAATACTTGCAACTAATGTCTTGTAAAATAATTGAAGTGTTTTCTATTTTTTCTTTAAAGTCTTTATTTTTCCATGTTTTAAAACACAGGTTCCTATTCCAATATTTTCAGTTTCCAGCAGTCAAACCACATTAGAGTCTTCCGCTGTAGTCAAAGCTGCACGTAAGCATACAAATACTCAGCAGAGCACTTTGGAAACAACGTGATTGTGTTTCAAGATGATACAGAGCTTTAGACTCATAAACGTATCTTTTCAACGGGAACTTTATATCTAGTTCCTTGCGTATTAGCCAAGTCATGTAGACCTCAGGTTGCCAAGAGGAGGCTCTGCTGTCCCGAATAACAAATATATGGGATCAGCTTCTCTGCACGCATCAGCTCAGCAACTGACTTAAGGGTAATTCCTTTGAGGTTACAAAGCTGAGTAGTACAAGTGCTACATGAAAGCCAGAACGTTTTAACTTCGCTGTAGTCAACGTAGTCTCTAACTATACCTGGTCACTTGATAAATTCCAAACTCCGTTGACTTTATCATATATTTGTTCTTGTGGTAATAATCTCAGTTGCTTGTTTTGAATCAATGCACTTCTCAGCTTCAGATCACGATACATTTTAGAAGTTTCATAAGCTCTGCAAAAAATGAAAAACATGTTACCATTTCAGTGTTTCTATTATTTTTACTGTTTGATTTGACACTAATATGAAATGTTTCTTATCACCATGTTGCACAAAAATTAGAGTCATCTTTAGATGGGAAACATGACCTGTTTTGTAGTCAATTAGAGTTCTGACCAGGATTTAACTCTTCCATTTCTATTACATGGTCCAAAATCACAGGAAATTATTACAGAAAGAAATTATAGAAAGAAAATGCACACTAAAATTCTCTCTTTTGTACTTTCATCTGTTCAGATAGATTTAGGTGTGGACTCTGTAGAGTAGGGTTATAGATTGGACTTGATGATCCCAAGGGTCTTTTCCAACCTGAATGTTTCTATGATTCTGTGATTACACACATTAATTTCCATTGTGCACAGTTATCTACTGTGTGATGATTCTCTCCCTTCCATCGAGAGACTGTGTTCTCCTGTTTTGGGAAAACTTTTCTGAACGTGAAATATGGGCAGTTACATATTTGGTCCATCTGCAGTAGTAATCCCACATACTTGATTCATTGAATTTTGTAAATGAACAGCCACTACTTTAAATACAGCTACCTGTGTACAGCAATAACTGAAGTGAAGAGTCGTGGACTCCCGGGGACAACATTGGTAAATATGAACTCAAAACGTGTATTGCCACATTTAGTCAATATATACAGAGCTTCTGTCTGGCCTCGTAATTTCTGCATGGAAAAAATGGATAACAGTTTGACAGTATAGCAGTTTCACTGTACAGGCAATAAATAATCTTGAGATATTTTCTAAATTCTTATTTTAAATAGTGTATCTGACAGTGTAATCCTGATTCTACCACTGATCTACTGCTGTCTTCAACTGAATTAATTTTTTCTGGAAAAAACAGCAGTCCCAGCAGCAGCAGAATTAGTGAAGCTCACCTGCTATAAATTTGCAGTATCATGACTGAAACAGTATTTTCGGCTTTGTTACCATGTGGCTGCCTGGTATTACAGTAGGTGTTATGAACCTACATAATGTCCCTGCTAGTTCTTTGCTGCAAGCCAAATGAATGACTTCACAGTTTCGTGTAGTTCAGACCGTATATTTGAGAGCTTTTTTTCCCACAAAATTAGTGTCTCTTTAGACCTTCATTAAATTTAGACAAAATGAGCCAAAAGGCACTTGACTTTCCTAGAAGGCAGAAGAATCACCAAACTGTGCTTACATGAGTTACCTTGCCCGAGGAAACGGATTTAAACCAAACTCCTAAGGAAATGTAAAACTCTCTCAACTTTTAGCATTAAACTTCCATTTCTATTCTATTACTATTCTTGCAAGTAAACTTCCACATTTTGTTGATACAATATAATACATATAAACAATGAGTTACAGCTTCTTTATTATTTTGAGAAGTATATTTTGAAACTTACCGAGTTGGCAGTTCTTGTAGTTATATTTATAATGCAGTTGTAGCCAACAGCTAGAAGTTAGGGGAGGGAAAAAAGAAGGAAGTTTTGAGAACAAGAGAAAATAACAGTCAAAATTACAAAGTACAATATTGAATTTTGCAGCACAGCTGTGGATACTACCTGTGAGAATTACACATTGTGGATAATGCTCCGTGCTCTTGTCACAAAATCAAAGACTAATTTAAGCTTGAAAGGACCTTGGGAGACTGTCTGGTCCAATCCTCTTCTCAAAGCAGGACCAACTTCATCCAGCCACTCAGGGTACTGTCCAACTGAGTTTTGAATACTTCCAAATAAGGAAATTCCACAACCACTCTGGAAGCCTGTTCTGTTGTTTGACTGCCATCACTTTTAATGTTTTTCTCCTAATACCTAATCAGAATTTCCCTTGTTTCATTGTTTGACTGTTGCCTCAAGGTCTGTTTCATCACAATATTGCCCATAAATTTTACCCTTATAAATAAAACTTTTTACATCAATATAATGCCTCTGCAGAAGAAGAGCTATGGAGATGTCAAAGAAAAAAAGCAGCAAATGGAAAGTATAAGTAGAGAAGAAACAAAAAGAAGAGGAAAAAACCAGTTATGAATTTCGCTTTGCCTCTTCTACAGTAGTGCTCTGATACAAAATCAAAACAGAAACAATCTCAGCCGTGCTAAATCTGAATGTCAAGAACAATCCTGCTATAATACCAACACTAGCACAGCCAGGTTTCAAAACAAACAAAAAAAAATCAAAGGAGAACTAGAATTTGCTTTGGGGAGATTCTGATTCTCCGTAAGCTCAGATGTAGCAGAAGTTATCTAGATAAGAATATTTAGTCTTTATGGAATTAATACTTATGAAAGTACCAGAAAAAAGACTAATTCCTAGGTTGTTTACGGAAATTTTCTAAAACTAAAAGAAACAGCAATGGTAAAAAATGGCATCCAATAAAATATTTTTATACATATATATTCCCTTCCTGTAAGAAATAGTGCATTATCTGAAAGGTAGAGAGTATTTTAAACGCTAAAAGCCAAAAGTTAAAATTCCTTAAGCTTCTATAGGGCTTCTTGGTGATTTCCTCTAAAATAGTCTATTATAAAACTTAAATACATTAGCAAACCTGTTTTATTTATTTTATAAATATGTATAAAAGTATCAGTGTGTGTGTGCATGTATGTGATAGCAAATGCAGAAGAGTAAGCAGAGGGTAAGTTTATATACATTATGAACAGAATATAGATTTTCAATATTGACTGGGTGTTGGGAACTGGAAATAATACGAGTACAAAGGAAGTTCATTCTGTCTCTGTTCCAGCAAATTACATTAAACACAAGTAGACTTGCTAGCTACTCATGCAGTTAAAATCAGAAGCTTATCCAGAGCTTACAGTAGTAAATTTGGAAAGACAGGTACTTGTGGTTAATAAAAAATATAGGACAATATAGAATGCAAATAAAGAAGTGGCAGCAACAGATACAAGTAAAGCAAGGTGTGAAGAAACTCAAAATTTTGCTTCTTTCTAGAAAACCAAATGAATCCCACACAGGCCAAGTGAAAAAAATCTGAAGTAGCCTTCAAATTCTGTTCTGAGAAATTAACATCAAATATTAGTATCTTGCTATGAATTATTATAATAGTTCCTATATTATAAATATATTAATTAGTAACTGTTTACTTCAGACTTTACCAAGCATGAGAATTATAATTTACTATTCCATTCTGTAATCAATACTGTTTGAAAGAACAGCATGCCACCACAAAGAAAACACAAAATTTGCGGTTGTTTAACAAGAGACGATACTTACAGAGATTGACTCTGGGCAATGACAACGAGCGCCAAATAATCCGTAAATTTGTCACAAGCAGTCTACCTGGAAATAAAGAGTGTAGATATTTTTTAATCTGAATAACTTCCATTAAATTAAATGTTCTATTCTTTTGTACACATTTACCTCTAGTTTTGAAACACCAGCATATTTCTTCCCCTTGATATGAAAAAGAAATCACCAAACACTTTTTTTTTTTTTCCCTAAATGCTAGGAGAGAAAATCCAGCAAGAAACAAACGAAACAACCTCTAATATATACCAGCATTCCTCAAAATCAAACTAAGAACAGTTACTGATTTCACACCCACCTGCCTATGGTAAAAATGTGGAGACACAATCAGTGCTGAACTGCTCTGGGGTGGAGAAGGGGAAGGCAGTGGGTTATCTGGGGCAGCTGTCTTCATGAATAACCTCACCCCTCTATGTCACATGCAAATTTCTTCAATTCTGTGCCCAGTACAGCAGCACATTCAACCCCAAGAAGGGTCATCTCAGCGTGCTGGCAGCTTCATGCGCTTGCACAATACATACATATATATTCCTTAATGATTAAGTTTAAGCCAGGTTAGGAAAAACTAAGCACTAAACAGGATTATAGCAAAAGATTACCACAATGGATTATGCTTACAGGGCTTTCAATTCTAAACAAATTCTGAGACAAGATTATTTTGTTCCTATAACTTTGAGTAAGAGATCCTATTTGAAAATACTCCAAGGGGACACAGATCTGCAAGAGGTGGCAGGATCTATTTTTGGCAGTGGATCACTGATACCGAATTTGACGAAAACCAGACAGGGCTGGTTAACACAGGTGAAGTACTAGAAAGTTTACAATTTCCCCAAGTATGCAGTTACCTCTGTCTCCATTGTTTCCTTTAGTATCTTCAACAGACTCTAAGCAGTCTATAAGGATCTCTCCAGATCTCATTTTCATTTGCCTAGAAGAAAAAGAAAAGAAGACAAAAATTACCTAATGAAAAAGAGATTAGATTTATCTTCCAGAGGAAGGACATTTCTGTTTCCCCACTTCACTTTCCTTTCTTCTTTTTTTGCTTAGTGCATCATACCATGAAAAATACACATAAGTGCACATACACACAAGTCAACATCATATACCTGAAACTGTTATCACTACCTCTGGCCTAAGATAAATACCAATACCTTCAATATTAACTTCTAACAGTACAAAAAAAGGAAGCGAGAACAAGCAAACTATAACCCAAAATATGGAGAAACCATGTGAAAATGGGCAAGAAAAGCAAACAAAAATTGCATTCATATAATTTTTAATAGATAGAGTTTGTTGCCTCTTGTTGTCCTTTTAGGTCATAGGAGTGGAGCTCGGTACAGGAAAGAACAGATGCCAGCAAAGGAAGCATCAGGTGTGTACAGACATGGGCCAAATTTTCCACAGGGAGCGTGGTTGTTGGTTTTTTTTGTATTTTGCTTGATTTAACTGGTCTAACCACTTCATTACATAGCAGATGTAGCGTGAAATTCTGCTGTGTTTTAATTGTATTGCGTAAAGCAGCCAAAACTCTTCAATGTACTGCCATGACAGAAACAAGATGAATTATCAAGAGCCGAATTCCCTGCGGTACTGCTGGAGAGCAGGGTCGAGGCACGAGGTGCAGACTCCAGAAGACCTTGGGCAGGAGGCAGCAAAACCCACAGCAACAGCATCAAACGTGGACGCAGGCTCTGTCGACCTAACAGTTCTACACGGAAATCGGACAGAACTGCTTAAGCGTGCCCGCTAGGATTTCATGTGTCTGAAGGAACTGCCTGAGCGACA